GTATGCGCACTTGTAAATAAAAGGTTTCCTCTTACAGCCTGACAGTGATGCCAAGTGATGTTCTTTTTGACTGTATAGTGCAGAATCCCGGCCACAGCAGCAGTATTTCGGTGGGCACAAAATCGTTTAAGGACCCAAGATTGTCAAAATGATTCCCAAGCCTTCAGCTACGGCGTGCCTCTCCGTCAAATGGCAGTTTTGTCACCTTAGCCACATAATTACAATTGCATGATGTAACTATCGACAAGAACGGTGCCGCACGCGTAACGAAGTTGAACCTGTCGCAGTGTGCATACTACAACTCGATATAGCAGTAATATAACAATAAACTTCCGGGTTTATTGGTGCTCCTTTGGTACCTCAATCTTCCTAATTTTTTATTCATTCACCAACCGATCTTTAAAAACTGCTTGCGATTTCCTCAGGGATGACTGCTTCGCCGTCATTCGTTAATACTTGCGATCGGACCGTGCGTTGCAGCTTTCATTCTGTTTTGAATGCAGAACGAACACACCCATTCAGAAAGCATTTTGCAGACGTTTCAGCAAATAAACACAAGGCTATCATCAAGCGCAATGTACGCAAGCGCATGTCACAAGATCGAACCCCGGTCGCGGCGGCTGCATTTTCGGCAGGGGCACAAATACTAAGGTGCGTGTACCTAGATTTAGGTGCACATTAAAGCAGCTCAGGTTGTCGAATTTCCGGAGCACTCCTCTACGGCGTCTCTCATAATCATATGGTGGTTTTGGGACGGTAAACCCCTGCTATTACTAATATAAAAGCACAGAAGTCCTTAAAGGGCAATGCGTGATGTGTCAGCCCATGCTAAGGTAGTGCCATCTCGCGGCTGTTGATACCAACTGCGGCAGCCACGGCTCCTCCCTGAACACACTACCCCATATTCTAGTACACTATTGTTTGGGGCAGAGTCCAGGCCGACCACTTGGACAGGCGCACCTGGCATCGCAGCAGACGAAACATTAGGTTCTTTTCACTTAATAGTGTACTGTTATTTCCATAAATAGATAATGCGTACTTTCAAGGGCAAGACAAGCACATTTGTATTTAAGTGTTGTAAAAAATAATTCATTAGATTTTTACGCTAAATCTGGAATGCAATGGCAGAGCAATGCATACCCTGGTGGCTAAATTTGTCCAGGTTTCACTTCTGCCTCGTGGTCAGGGAAACATTTAGCGACAGGATTTTCGTACGAAAGAGTGAAGCAATTTTCAATTAAATATACTTCATATCACTTTGCTTTACATTAGGCAAAAAAGCGTCGGGAATTTCAAGAACGTAATCCATCCAAAGCAGATCCGAAGCCTGTACTTCTCATCATTCCCATGGGGGTACATGCACTGCTGAAGGAGCCCACGGAGACACTAGTGCCAGATTCCCCTCTAGGTATTATTGTATGAATATCTATGATTGAGGACATCATAATGCGCCATGGCACCCCCAGAGTTTTCGTTTACCGACAGAGGTGCGACCTTTACAGCTGAGTTAACAGATGACCTTAAGGTACAGCCAGACAAACCACTGCCGGACCACCACCTGCCACCCCCAGACCAACGTCCTCACCCAGCTTTTTAATTAGACTATTCCCGATATGCTGGCCAAGTATGTTGATATGAAGCAGAATACACGGGATGCAATCATTCCATACGTGACCTTCATGTACAATACAGGCTACCACGAAATGATGTAGTTGACGTTGAACAAGTCGGTTTGTGGAAAGAGCCTGGTAAAAATGCTCAAAGTAATATTCCCCAATGTCAGTGATGAAGAAAATCTTGATGTGACTGTCAACCGTCAGCACCCCGAAGAAGCTCGACAACTCGCCCGCCTACGATTCAAGAATCAGCTGACGACTGACTGCTGTCGTTGCAATCTTTGACGACGCTTCGGGGAATTCCGTCTCGACGACTGTGTTTGGGTGTGGACACTGATACACCAACATGGGCCAAGAAAAAAAAATCACAGCATATCCACGAAGTGAATGATGATGAGTGGGGCGAAGCACCGGTCAGCCCGTCCATGCTTCAGTTCGTTGGTTCTTGCTTTTGTCCGTCCACGCGACCATTTGTGCGTTCATCCATGCATCCGTCCTTGAGTCAGTCCATCCGTCAGCAACATTCACGCGACTATCCATCTGCCCATCCATCTGCTAGTCTGTCAGTTCATCCATCCGTGCGTCCATCTAGTGGACACTCTAAGTACCGCCATCTCCCATCTCGCATCCCCTGTGGCACATACCCACTCTAGAGCGGGTATGTGCCACTGGTGGCTTCGTACTACTACATACATACAAGGGATGGACAGACCCACGCCTTAAGGAGCTTCACCCCTAAAACTTATACGACAGTACTTCGCATCGTACAAGGTTTTAGGGGCGAAACTTCTTAAAGGGCCACTCACCAGGTTTGACAATTTTGAGCTGACAAGCGCAATGCGTAGACAAGGTGTTCATGATCACATGTGCCAAAATTTGCAATGCTATGCGCTGCGGAAATGGGTCGAATTTCAAGATGAAAGCTGCTCCCCCTTTCCTCTGCCATGAGGGCATGATGTGGGTGTAGGAATGGCCCTACGTACATGGCAATGCGGTGACGTTGGTTCTCTACGTTGACGACTCTGCTCTGACGTTGTCAACAGTATACCACGTGACATGGCAAAAATTAACACAACATGCGTAGTTTATGTATTTGTTGCTTTAAGAGATGAATAAAACTTAAAATAAATAATGAGACGCAATAAAAATTGTGCGTGTTTTTTTTACATTTTTTCCCGTGAAATGCTACGAGATGCGGGGCTAATGTGCCAGCGTTTCGCATGTGTTCGGGTCCCCGCGGTCAGCGCATTGATCAGAAGACCGCCGTGGAACGCTTCTATAGCCACCATAGCTCCTACGCGTTCGCGCACTCATTGCGCTCATCTACTCTACCGCATCTAAGCCAGCGTTTCCAAACAATCCCGCAGAAACAGCCAGAAGACCACAAAATAACGCTGGTCAACAAAGCAACGCCGCTCGCGTGCACGGGGGCTGGGCTTGTTCGGGCACGTCATGCACGCGTCACCTCTTGGTCAGAGGCCGTAGAGAGTGGGGAAGAGATTTGGCTTGCGAAGGCTACGCGGAGGAGCTGCAAGGGTTTCGAGCTCGACTCCTCTCATCCTCGTTTCGCGCCGCTTCAAAAAACCTGTTTTCTCGGCTCGTAATGAACCGGTTCAAAAATCTTTTTTTGGCAAAACGGTCCTCATCGGACCCAACAACTTCCACTGCTTAACTAAAATTCGGTATGGGGCCTGGTGAGTGGCCCTTTAAGGCGGCACCCGTTCGTCCCTCGTCGTAGTGCGTAAGCAGTCTTACATTTTGACCTGTAAGGTGGTAACGGTGGGAGATTTCTCCTTTGTGTTGTTGAACAATAAAAAATTTGCAGCGTGCACATTAACTAAAAGACGGATTCTCCTGTCTCTCATTCCCCATTACCAGCCATTGGCATGTACATTGAGCACTATCTGACAAGAAAGTGTTGCTACATTATACTCGCTGGGCGTAACCTCCTTGGTTTTAGAAAGGTTTAGCCAGCGTTGGGCTGCAGTGCCATGAATATAGTGAACTAGTATATACCATGAACTCGAGGTGATTAAAGGTGGGAAGCAGGCACGAAGCAAAAGCCGAATTCTCCTGTCTCTCATTTCCCATTAGCAGCCATTGGCATGTACATTGAGCACTATCTGACCAGAAAGGGTCGCTACGTTATACTCGCTGGGCGTAACCTTTTTGGTTTTAGAAAGGTTTAGCGAGCTTTGGGCTGCAGTGCCATGAATACAGTGAACTAGTATATACCATGAACTCGAGGTGGTTAAAGGTGAGAAGTAGACACGAAGCGCAAGCCGTAAGAAAGTGTGCGTGTGCCACCTCTCGTTTAATCCTTGGAATGTCCTTGGAATACCTTACGCAACCTGCGTCAGAATGTCTTAAAGCATTCCAGATTATTTCAGGATCATCTGGTGGGCTTAAGCATGCAAACACGAACAGCGGAGTTCATTCTCGAACAAATGCGGCTACCAGTGATAATGTTCAAATATTTGCTGCTGCGTCTATAAATGCTGCCTTGCCGCAGATCAGATTTATCAACAGCCAACGCCTTGTAGTAAGCTGCTATCAGGGCCAGTGCGTGTTGCCGTAATCTGACTTTCCAATTACCAGCGACAAGTTCGGCCAAATAAACAGTTTCGTCTCGGAGACTCCTGCCTAGCAGGAAAAAAAAGTTTGCAGTTATCGTTTATGTTGACCAGAGTGGGTATAGTCTAAATAATGTGATAAGTCATTTGAGAGTTTTTTTCGTCAAATAAGTTAAGCAGGATGAGTAGCCTCATCAGTCAACCCAAACCGGCATTCACGGCTACTGTACCATTGAGCACAAAACGCAGTTTGCGCTCATTTCATTGTCGGGTCAGGAAAAGTACTTTCGGCAAATGGTGAGCTGTATGTCTGTCCGTCTTTGGAAGCGCCATGCAGCTGTCGAGCATTTTGGTAGCGTAAACCTGGTTTCATATTGCAAAATGTGGAACCAGGCTCCTGATGCCACAAATCATGCTGTTCATGCTGTATCAATTGCAAAATGTGGGACTGCGAACTGATTGATGTTTTGCATGACAAAGATAATGTACAAGATTAGCGAACAATTCAGTCAGGAGATTGTGAAAAGCTACCTCATGCTGCTGATGCTAGGTGTGTGCATCAGCCAGTCCTTTCTCTGTTAAAGAAGTGCAATTTTCAAGTGGCGTAATCACACGACACCCTGTCACAATGCTTTGTGTCATGTGCTAAATAAAACCATTTATCAGTCGGCTCTTGTGTGCCTTCATTTCTGGTAAACCTTCGTCCAGGTCATGCAGCCCGCATAGCAAAAGTGTGTTTTGTAAATGGTTATAGATTACTGCATCAGGCTGTCAAGAGGTGATGCGAATGCAGTCCCTTACCTTGTTACAGATGCTAGCTTCACCTTGCCGAGCTGCCGCAACCACGTGCGGCGAGTTTTGGAGCGGGCCATTGAGCTGGTTTCCCACAGACGCTGCCCTCTTCTCTGGAGGCTCTACATCGAGCTAGAGGTGTGTGCACTTTGTGATTGTGGTTGTTTTCGCTTCTTTTAGGCCTTTTCTCACCAAGTAATGATGGTGGCTGTAGTTTTGCATGTGCCACCACTTTTTCATCCACTTGCCTTGCGCTCATTTATGGTAATATGTAGCTGTAGTAGACTGCCTGCAATGATTTTCAGCCAGTACAGCCTTTAAAAGTGCTATCATTATCACACAAAATTGCTTCACAGCTTCTCCCTGAAGCTGCTGTGCTTAATTCAGTTTATCTGCAATTTTAATGCCACAGATAAGGTTGTAAAGGCACTGTGAAAGTGCACTACAGAGTCACTGTGCTAACAGTCGCAGAGGCTTGATTCCTACAAAAACCACAGCATGAGCACAGTGTTGTGAATTTTTAAGAGATTACATTTCTGGTTTAAAAATTCGGGGACCCTAAAGCTTCGCCTTTAGGAGTTGAACACAATAGCGACATCCTATTCCTAGTGCGTACTTCAAACACTTAATGTATAAAACCTTTTAGAATTTGCTACGCACCCACTACGTGGCCTTAAGGGAATAGGCGCAGTAGCGTGTGTGCCTTTTGTAGTGGGGTACCAGCTTTCAACCACAGAGCCATTATGATAATCACATATTTTGACGTCCATTGGCACTAGACGCTTGTACCATGCATTACTGCAATATTTCATAATGCATTGTGAGGCATGTATACAGGACGCGTGTGTTTCTGAAGCATGAAAGATACTTTCAGTGCATTTCCAAGCACAGGAAGTTATTTTCACTGTTTTCATAAGCAAAGCCATGGCCGTGTGGTAGAACCTCGCTTCCCACGCAAACGACCCAGGTCCGGTCCCCACTTATACACAAACAGCCCTGGTTTGGTCTCTGCTCTGCTCCAGAATTTTTAGGGACGAAGCTCCTTATGGCATGGCTTGTGCGTCCCGTTGTTGTATTTAACCACTGGTGGCACATACCCGAGAGAGCGGTCCTTATAATGTCCGCTTGATGGCGGTACTTGTATATGATGAATGCATGAAGAAAAGATGTGAGACAGCCGTACTTGGAGTGTTCACTAGATAGACGGACGGACGGACATACCCAAGAGAGCGGTCTTTAGAATGTCCGCTGAATGGCGGTACTTGGGTATGATGAATATATGATGAAAAGATGTGAGATAGCGGTACTTGGAGTGTTCACTGGATAGACGGACGGACTGACAGATGCTTGCACGGACGGACAGACAGACAGAGCGCCGGACGAACGAATAGACAAAAAGACGGCCGCGTGAACAGACGGATAGATAGACAGACAAACGAACGGATGGACGCACCGACTGTCACACGGATGGTCAGAGACACGCACAAAAAGGCGCATGGACAGACAGAAACAAGAACGACTGGACTGATGAAGGTTTAAGTGGACTGAAGAATGCTCTGCCGCACAAATCATTCGCTCCGTAGATATGGTGTGATTTTTTTATAATTTATTTATTCTATTTGCATCGATCTCAATTTTTCGGTCACTCATAAGATGATTATTTTTCGCTCACAACCAATAACACCGATGCCGATGATTAAATTTCTGCGAAACAAGGCCCACAGCTGCCCAGCCCATCGATGCCTGATTAGTGACAAAGAAAGAGCTTTCGCAACACGCAAGCCCTTATCTTAGCCAGCCACCGTGTACACTAAAGGGATTGCCAACCAACTACACTGAATGCAATGCTTCTAAGAAAATACACTCTCACAACGCCACTCGCATATCACAGTGAACCCTGTGTTACGGGGGTTTATTCAAGTACACAGTGACCGGGAAGGTAGCTGTCGTGTAGCCGGCACGGCAACACGTGAAAGTAACCACGCTACACCACAGTACGATCCATGACAAATCCCAGTTTAATCAGCGAGTATCGTTTATATACACACGAGCGCAGTGGCGCGATCTATTGTGAGTCCAATGACTCAGAAGGCCATCTAGTGTAAACGCACAACACCACATCTACCCCCTCCCTTGATAATAGAACACAGATTATGTGCATAGAAAAGAAACAGTCACTACCCGTGACAGAAAACTATAGTAAGTCTCCACTGTAAACAAGTCAATGCACATAGTCCCCGAGTCTCTCTGGTGGTCTTCGCTCCCGTGTAGAGCGACGGAGGGGCACCGGCTGCTCTTCTGGCTGATGGACGACCTCTGGTTCATCGGCACGATCAGCACCCAGTCCTGCGGTCTTGTTCCCCGTTGGTGGAGGCCGTGGTGGGCTTGGCGTATGAGGAGGCAGTGCTGACCCCCCCGGAGACTGTGCAGCTTCCTGTATTGGGATATTTTGGGTCGTGTGGCTCTTTGCCTTCGAGGACGGTTTTTGTGCTGTGGCGTTTCCTGCCGACCCATCTGTCTCCATGTCCGCCCACAGCGGTTCTTGTCTTGCCCCCGTTTCTTCGTGAACAGCTTCATGGGGTACAGCCGACAGTTGGGAGGCATTCCAGGTACGGCCGTCCTCCAAGTGGAATGACCATCGTCCTACCCGCCTCAGTATTTTGAGTGGAGCCCCAAAACTAGGGGTGCCTTTTATTCCAGGTTCCGGGCGTTTCACCCGCACGTAGGCCCCCACTTTAAATTTGGGCTCCCGGGCTGCTCTTCGCTTGTCTGCATACGCCTTATTTCTTTGTTGGTATTCGCAGACACGACGCCGAAGTCTACGCAGTTCACGTGCGGGATGGGTGCCGAAATCCGCTGATGGCTGGCCAACAACATCTAATGATGTCCTCATGTGGCGGCCATGAAGCAACACTGCTGGAGAGATGCCAATGGCGCTGTGAGGTGTGGCTCGGTAAATATCCAGGTACTCTATACTGTGGTCTTCATTGGTCGCTGCTCTAGGAGAGCTAGTTGTATATACGATTTCAAGACCCTGTTGAATCTTTCCACTAAGCCATTGGCTTGAGGGTGGTAAACTGCCGAGAAAAAATGCTTGATGCCCCTGTCTGCAAGGAAGCACTCGAATTCACTCGACGTAAACTGTCGGCCGTGGTCTGAGACTAGTTCAGTCGGGTAACCCTCTCGCGCAAAGACAGCAAGCAGAAAGTTGATCACCGTGCGAGAAGTGATGTCACTGCAGAACGCAATCTCTGGCCATCTGGAGAAGTAGTCCACTACCACGATGACAAATCGACAGTCGGCCGGTGCACGTTCAAAGGGGCCCATGATGTCTATTGATATTTTGTCCCAAGGCCTGTCGGGAAGCGGGACAGGCTGTAGTGGGGCTTGCCAGTTCTTGACACTCTTGTCCGAGGCTTGACAGGTGCTGCAACTCCAGACGGCGGCCTCCACATGCTTGTCAAGGCAAGGCCACCAGTACTTCTCTCTGATGCGCTGCTTAGTCTTCACAATTCCCGGGTGTGACTCATGAGCTAACTGGATGAATGTATCCCTTAGCTTGGCAGGCACTACAACGTGTTCTGTGCGCAGAAGCAACCCATCTACTACTGAGAGCTCGTCTCGTATTTCGTAGTACGGAGTCAGTTCTGCGGCAAATCTTTTCCTTGTTGGCCATGATGACTGGATAAATTGCATTACCTGCCGTAGTATGTCATCCTCCGCGGTAGCAACCTGAAGATTCTCCCAATGTACAGACGATGTAACCGAGGACACAACCTCTTCATCAACATGGAAGCCCCCTTCCGTGTCTGGCACGGGCAGTCTGGACAAGGCATCTGCTACCTAGTTGTGGGCTCCGCTGCGGTACTGTATTTTGAAATTGTAGCACAGCAGTCGTGCGGTCCACCCTGCAATACGAAGTGGCCGCTGCCCTGTGCTACGGGATGAGAGCAGTGCCACCAAAGCCTGGTGATCCGGCAGTAGAGTAAATGATCTGCCCCAGAGGTAAACGTGCCACTTCTCGCAGGCCCACAGACAGGCAAGGGCCTCGCGCTCTCAGGCCAAGTATTTTCGTTCTGTCTCTGTTATTGTCCGCGATGCAAATGCCACAGTACGCACATGGGACCCCTCCACTTGCTGCAGTACGGTACCGAGGCCGTACGCAGAGGCATCTGTTGCGACAATGACAGGTAGCGTCGGGTCAAACATTCGGAGGACCTTGTGGGATGCTAGAAGTCTTTTTACTCCCGCAAAGCTCTCTTTCGCAGCGTCATCCCAGTCGAAGTGCACGTCTTTGCGAAGTAGACGACGCATTGGCTCTACTTGCTCTGCCAGTCGCGGCATGAATTTGGAATAGTATTCAACTAGCCTCAAAAAGGAGCATAGCAAGGCTGCATCTCTAGGCACAGGAGCATTGATGATTGCATCAATCTTGGTCTGGAGCGGTGCTATACCCTCTGCGCTGACGCGATGTCCTAAGAACGACAGCTCCGACGTGTTGAAGACGCATTTTTCGTTGAGCTTGAGCCCAGCTTCTGCTATTCGTTCCAGCACTTGCTCCAGGTTTTGCCTGTGTTCGCTCTCCGTCTTGCCAAAAATGATTATGTCATCCAAGTAGCATAAGACCCCTTTGCAACCTCCAAGAATTTTCGTCATGATCTGCTGAAACGCAGCTGGTGCCGATGCCAACCCGAAGCAGACCCTCTTGAATCTAAAGAGGCCATCGTGAGTTATAAATGAAGTTAGGTCCCGGCTGTCTGGGTGCAGCACAACCTGGTAGTAGGCTGATGCCAGGTCCACCTTGGAAAAGCAGCGGGCTCCATTGAGGGCATGAAGCAGCTCCTCCATATGAGGCAAAGGGAAGTTGTCTGCTACTATAGCTTTGTTGGGTTCCCGGAGATCGACACACAGTCTAATGCTACCATCTGCTTTGCGGGCTGCTACAATAGGAGATACCCACTCGGAAGCATTGACTCTCTCAATGACATCAGGAGCAAGTAGCTTCTCAATCTCGTCAAAGACCGGCTGGCGGACTGAAAATGGTAGGGGTCTCAGCTTCTGTGCGACTGGCGCGATGGAAGTTTTCATCTTAACTTTGTGTTGCACACCTCTTACAAGTCCCAGGCTAGGCAAAAACA